AGGTAGCCCAGATCCTTCATCTGCAATGCTGTCTGGTGGCCCAGTCTCTGCTTACCCCTTTGCATTACAAGCATTCGTTTCGTGACCATTGGAAGTTAACAGTAGCACTGAAAATGTGATTTATGATCATTACTTATGCCAGGGATCCTCAAACTTGGCCACTTTAAGACTTGTGGACTTCAACTCCCAGTAGAGAGGCGCAAGGTTAGATTTCAGCAGTTCTTGAAGTGCTTCCCTAGCTAGAACAGCCAATCCACTGGCCATATTGAGACGTAAATGTAACATGGTTTATTAAGTCACTGGAATTGCACGGTACATGGAATCATACATTAACCACACCGGGCGGGTTCCCAAGGCACACCCCCACAAGCTAGCCGACTTTATTTTAGCCCGCAGTACTCAACCCAACAATTCCTTGAGGATTGACTCTGTTATGTCAAAGCACCTTCAGAATGAAGAAAATGACTTGTAGACAGGGAATCTTCAAGGTGTATGGAAGTACAAAAGTACACAAATATTTTAGAAAAACAGAGTGTAAGGAGACTTGAAACACTTCAAGAAGGAATTATAAAACTTCAACAGGAGACATTTTAGGGAAAGGCAGGATATGGATCAGGAAGGAAAGGGTTGCCATAAATTTCATTTCTACTACTACTACTACTACTACTACTACTACTACTACTAATAATAATAATAATAATAATAATAATAATAATAATAATAATAATAATAATAATAATAAAGTTGGAAGGGACCTTGGAGGCCATCTAGTCCAACCCCTTGCTCAGGCAGGAAACCCTATACCCTTTCGGACAAATGGCTGTCCAGTCTCTTCTTAAAAACTTCCAGTGTTGGAGCATTCACCGCTTCTGGAGGCAGGTTGTTCCACTGGTTAATTGTTCTGTCAGGAAGTTTCTCCTTAGTTGTAGGTTGCTTCCCTCCTTGATTGGTTTCCATCCGTTGCTTCTTGTCCTGCCTTCAGGCGCTTTGGAGAATAGCTTGACTCCCTCTTCTTTGGGGCAGCCCCTGAGATATTGGAACACTATTATCATGTCCCCACTCGTCCTTCTCTTCGTTAAACTAGACATACCCAATTCCAGCAACCGTTCCTTATATGTTTTAGCCTCCAGTCCCCTAATCATCTTTGTTGCTCTTCTCTGTATTCTTTCTAGAGTCTCGACATCTTTTTTACATCGTGGTGACCAAAACTGGATGCAGTATTCCAAGTGTGCCCTTACCAAGGCATTGTAAAGTAGTATTAACATTTCATGTGATCTTGATTCTATCCCTCTGTTAATGCAGCCTAGCACTATGTTGGCTTTTTTGGCAGCTGCAGCACACTGCTGGCTCATATTTAAGTGGTTGTCCACTAGGACTCCGAGGTCCCTCTCACAGTTACTACTATTGAGCAAGGTACCCCCTCTACTATACCTGGTTTGGTTTTTCTTGCCTAAATGTAGAACCTTTCACCATTGAATTTCATTTTGTTAGATAGCGCCCAGTGTTCAAGTCTTCAAGCTGATTTGCTTCAAAGCAAAGCAAAGCAAAGCAGATGCCTTCAGCAACACTTTTACTCCCAAGAGTTTGTCAGGCCCATGGAGACCTGACAGGCCTCTTAGATTACAACATGAGACTATTTTCTACATCCCGGCACTTGGAAATGTTCCCACATGCCTATGAAAAAAATTAAAAACACAAAAGGAAATGGAAAAGGGAAAACATGCTTTTCTGCCCTTGTCTAGAGACGGGATTGTAAGCAGACATAGCCGCAGGGCTGGTTAAACAAACCGGTTGGATGATTGAAGTCCCTCCCCTACCTAAGAAGACTAGACACACATATTAAGATGGCATTCACCACTGACAGGGCTTCAATCAGATGGTTGTGGGTGCCATCTTAATTTTTTTTTTTTGAAAGCCCACCCTATCCGTGGGTGCCCCTCAGATGGCATGGAGCAATTTCATCATTTCTCCAAAGCAACTGCTTAGCAGCCGTTGTGTGAAAACGTGTGCCCCATGTTTTTTAACATTCTGAGTGGCTTCAGCAAGATTCCTTGCTCCTACAATGATAGACCTTGGATGACAGCACTTCTGATTGACTCAAACCTGAAGCAGAAGTCCACGCTTCAGAATTTTGTGGCTTGTTCAATGACCTCATTTCATATGATCAAAAGAACCAACATGTATATGAGCAAAATGAGGAGCTATAGAATAGAATAGAATAGGGAATAGAATAGGGCCGTGGTGGTGAACCTATGGCATGGGTGCCACAGGTGGCACACAGAGCCCTCTCTGTGGGCACGCGCGCCGTCGCCCCAGTCCTAGACCTTCAGCTGGGTTTTATAAAACCTTTTCACTTTAGGCCTCCGACACCGTGTGCAAAAAAAATAAGGTTCAATCAATTTCAACTTGTGGGGGAAAAAAAGATCTCGCAAAGTTGGAATTGATTGATTGAACTTTTTAGTCCCACCCAGTCTGCCGTTACCACTGCAGCCACGTCTACCCAATGGGCCACACCCACCCAGCATCCGATGATACATAAGTGGGTTTTGGGTTGCAGTTTGGGCACTTGGTCTCTGAAAGGTTCACCATCACTGGAATAGGCAATAGAATAGAATAGAATAGGAATAGAATAGGAATAGAATGGGACCTTGGAGGTCTTCTAGTCCAACCCCCTGCTCAAGCAGGAGAACCTATATCGTCTCAGACAGGTGAATGTCTAGTCTCTTCTTAAAAATCTCCAGTGATGGAGTGCCCACGATTTGGGGGGGGGGGGTTCAAGGTTCTAGGCAAGTGAGGATAAGTGATACATGCTCATTCATTCCACACTTTATAAGTAAAGGTCAGCTTGTACCACAAGCCAGAAAGAAGCCATTTTTACACAGCCAAGAACCCTATTTAATCCCACCCCCTTTT